AAATTATAACTAAAACACTTTACTGTAGTTGTCTAATATCTAGCAAAGCAGGACCAAGACTCTGACAAATAGAAATACATCATGTCCAACAAGGGCACTGGTGAATCTGTAGGCACTCTCCATACAGCATACGATTTTTGGAATATTTATATTAATAATATTTCACCTGTACCAACTGAACCTAGGGAAGGCTGAGCATCTCTTCTGATTTGACAACTCTCCCCATGCAATTCATCAATAGTAACATTTCCAATAAGCCTAATTATTTCTAGCACATTTTCTTTCACAAAGTGAAAAAAAAATCCTTCATGATTTTCCATGGACCCTCTGGGACTTGATTAAAATAGGATCATGGATTACTGAAAAATAATACTTGGCTCTCTATCTTTACCAAAGTGACAGTAAAAAGTAAACATAGAGAGTAGCACCATTATAAAAAATATAGGATCTTTTTAAAGTGAGAACACTTTGCTTTCTTGAATAAAGACATAATAAAGGCAACATAAACCTCAGAAGGTAAAACAAATCCTTTACAACCCGTTACTAAGAAGAGACTGAAAATTTAAAAAGCTTTCATCATTATAACAGAGACAATACCAAATTATAGTTTTGCATAAATATACATGAAACTTCAAAAAGTTTGTGAAAAATTGCAGTTAACATATGAGTTTATTTTGGTGCATAAAAATTTTAAAATCAATGCATAATTTTTTCATTATATACATTGTCTTTTTTTAGAAACATTTTTGCCTTAGGGTATGTGTGCTTGCCAGAGAAAGAGACAGAGACAGAGACAGGGGGAAAGTGAGAAATCACCCTCTAGGGAGGATGGCCACGCTGCAATCCCTTCTCCTCCATTCTCCTCCCAAGATCTTGGTCATGCACGCACAGGTGCCTGGTGTGATTTTGAAGCCACTGGGTCCAGGACTGCAACCACAGTCAGCCATGTGGGAGTCCAGTGACATAGTCACTGCGCCATTTGCTGGTCCCACCTTTCCATGAACCTTTTGAAGGTCCCACATATATGATACTAAAATTCTCTTTGGAAATGTTGCAAATAAATTAAACCTTAGCCCCCTTTGACCTTGTAAATAAAAATTCATTTTCTGTGAACCCTCTATAGCTTTCTATATTCATACACGTCCTTTATGACACAAGTTATCTAAGTGGAAAGAAAAAAGAATAAATTTTGTAACAGATGCAAGTATATGTAACCTCTCTTTAGCATGTAAAAATAAGAAGCAAAAGCATATAAACCCAATATTATGTGTAGAAATTAATGTATCAGCATTCTCTTACTTAGAAATGGTCTAGATTGCTGGGACCAGTAGTTAGCATAATGGCTATGTTGCTGGACTCCCATGTAGTTGACCACAGTTCGCGTCCCAGACCCAGTGGCTTAAACTCATGCCGGGTGCGTGTGCGTGCGTGCCCAAGATCCCAAGAGGAGAATGGAGGAGAAGGGATTGAGGCATGGCCATCCCCCCTGGGGGGTGATTTCGTGCTTTCTGTCTCTCTGTCTCTCTCTGTCTTTCTGGCGAGCGCACACGCCCTATAGCAAAAACATCTGCAAAAAAAAAAAGAAAGAAAGAAAGAAATAGTCTAGATTGCTAATGAAAATCCATTAATTCAATTTAGTAGCAGCCCAAAATCTTCAGTTTAAAGGTCTAATAATTTATTTTCAAGCTGATATAATTTAAAACATAATTACTGTTGGAATAAAATTTATTAGTTTAACATAATGACTCACCTAGGTTAAATACATTTATATTTCTCATACTCTTAAAAAATTTACAGTAGAAGTTAGCTCTAGTTCATTTAATCAGTTAACCTACATACATTTAAGAAAGAACATACCCAAGTAGAATAAAAATCTGTCTGCATGTTATACCTGATACTGATAAATCAGAGACATAGTTGGTTATAGCAAGCCAAAATTATTGAATTAGTCTTGTCTCCCAAAGGTTCACCTAAACTATGTGAACTTGAATTCTTTTTTTTTTCTTTTTAAATAATTTCCTATAGGGCATGTGTGCCAGCCAGGGAGAAAGAGTGGTAAAATGAGAAATCACCCCGCTCTGTCCAAGGAGGAGGGCCATGCCACAATCCCTTCTCCTCCATTCTCCTCTCAGGATTTGGGGCATACACTTACATACCCCTGGTGTGTTTTTCAAGCTGCCAGGTCCAGGACTCGAACCATTTATGTGGGATCCAGCCCCTTAACCACCACACCACCAGCTAGCCCTAACTTGAGTTCTTAAAATATTTGTTTGTTTCTATAGGAATACTTTTTATTTCAGTATATTAAAAAAGTCTTTAAAGTTTTAAAAATTTTCTTATTGTCTAGGAATTTTAGAAGTATTTTATTTTCCTAAACACTTATTTCTAAGTCAATGAGAATACAGCTTCTTTTAAGAGGCTTTATAATCTAATTTGATAATACCATCCAGAGGGAGAAAAAAACATTACACATTCACACAATGAGACATAAAGACCTTTCTGAATTACAGACATCATCATTATTATTACTCAGGCTATTGCCATGGGGAGAGTATTTATTAATCGGGAACATATTAAAGAAAAGGAAGGGGGCCTGTAGTTTTATAGGGGCAGGTAAATAACAGATTTATCTGTTAGAATTATGTGAATCATGAGGAAGAATGGATATGAGTTTTACCTTTGATTATGCTATGGCACTGTGGTCCTTTTCAGTTAGTCATTTTTCAGGACACAAAAATGTGAGGGGTTTCTTAGCCACAATTGCATTACAGAAGCACGAGGCTCTGATAAAGTTCAATATAGTCAATGAAATGAGTACCGTGTCAGTAGGATTCCTCTGTATTCTTTTTTATATGCCACTTTATTTCTGGTTACCTTTTTGTTTGCATGGGTGGTTTTTTGGTTTTGTTTTTCTTTACTTAGAACTTGTCTCCCCAACTTAATCGTAGATTCTCTGAAGGAAAGAAATATGTCTTGTATTGATTTGTATTTTGCCTCCTCTCCATCTCTCTCCTCCTTTTACCTAGTTGTGTTCTGTCCCATCTCCCCAAATTCTTTCTAGGACAACAGATTATCTCTATTTTAATGTGCTAAGACAGCAGACAAAAAATGTAAGGTTTTCATAATTGGAAGATAGCATTCTGATCCAAGAATTTTGAAGTCACATATTTAATTCTTATTTACAGAGAATTCACTGTTGGATAAATCCTTTTCTTTATTTGGTTTCTTCCTGGTTGCATACCTAAGGTCAAGCCATTCTTTGGCTAGATGATTGCTGTATTCACCTTTATGAAGTAAAGTCAGTGTCTAGTGATATTTTTACCAACTTCCTGCTCATCAATATACCTGTCTCATTAATTTAGCCTATGAATGAGGGCAATGTTTAGAATGTGAAATGTTATTATGGAAGAGATGTCATGAAGAAGCTTTTTATGTAGGCGTTAGAAAGAACTTACATTCCATGGTAGCGATGATGCCATTTTAAATGTTGCTCATGCCTAGAATTCTCTTCCAAATAAAATATCAGGGAGAACTTAGAAAAAATGAGCTGGATATCTGAACTGTCTATGGAAGCAAAACAAACTGAAGCACTTAGGATGAGGCTTTTTAAAAAATTATAATTCACTCTTTCTTTCTTTTTTTTTTTTTTGAGAGGTTTTTGCTATAGGGCGTGTCCGTTCACCAGAAAGGCGGAGAGATAGAAAGCAAGAAATCACCCCCTATGGGGGATGGCCACACCGCAATCCCTTCTCCTCCATTCTCCTCTCGGGATCTTGGGCATGCACGCACACGCGCCCGGCATGAGTTTAAGCCACTGGGTCTGGGACTCAAACCGCGGTCGACTACATGGGAGTCCAGCAACATAGCCATTACGCTAATTGCTAGTCCCATAAAATTATAATTCACTCTTGATAAAGAATGTTCTTTTACATCTAATCAGCAAGGCTTAGTGAAAATGTAATAAAAGAGCAGGTTAATGTTGGCAAGAAGTTAAAGCAGCACAGCGTCACCAACAGCAAAAAGTTAAAGGACACTAGTAGAGTCAATGAAGTCGATTTCAGTGGTAAAAACAAAATAACTTTAGAAAAGGCTATTTCACTCCTCATTGTAATAATTGCATTTACAGAAAGACAACCACATTATGCTGCCCAAGAGATTATGCAGTTGTATGTTATATACTCAGCTTTTATGAGCAGCAAGTGCCAAGACTAATTAAAAAAAAAAAAAAAAAACTTCTAGATTATGTCATAGGGTCAGTACAGAGAATCCAATCTTCCACATCTTCTACATCTGGCCTAGAAAATTTGTCTTTAAGGTCATTTCTAGAATCTAGCTGCCTTAAAGTCCTATAAGTGATCATCAAGTGATAATCAGTGTTCATCATGATAACCCCAAGGCACTACAAATTTTTTCCAAGTGATTACTAAATCACCAGAGAAAAGTTCTGTCTTCTTCAATATAGTTGTAATACTCTAGTGCTTTGAAAACCTGGGATCCTGAATGGAAAACATTACCTATCAACCTGAATATTTTCTTTATCAAAACATTTAATTCCCTGGGGACCAGCAATTAGCGTAATGGCTATGTCGCTGGACTCCCACATAGTCGACCACGGTTCGAGTCCTGGACCCGGTGGCTCAAACTCACACCGGGGGCATGTGTGTGCGTGCCCAAGATCCTGAGAGGAGAATGGAGGAGAAGGGATTGCGGCATGGCCATCCCCTCTGGGGGGTGATTTCTCGCTTTCTATCTCTCTGTCTCTCTCTGTCTGTCTGGCGAGTGCACGCACCCTATAGCAACAACCTCTCCAAAAAAAGAAAAAAAAAAGAAAGAAAAGCATTTAATTCCCTGATCATTCTGGACCATTTACTATATAATCTTAGTAGGTTGATTTTTAGTTTTTTTTTAAGGGACTAGATTTCAAGGGTTAATCCCCTGGCTGTAAAGACTCCCTTGGATTGCTTTTTGGCTGTTGGCTGTAGCAACTTGTTTTCTTGCAGAGATGAAGCATCTGGTTTTTGTTATCTCAATGATGCTGTCCTGGGAATATTACGATTGCGACGGAAATTTGACCGTATTCTCTATGTGGACTTGGATCTGCACCATGGAGATGGTAAGCCCTTCAGTTTCAAAGATGTTCCCTGGTAAGACAGCATGTTTTTATCATTAAATCTGCTTCTAGGCAACTGGTAAAAGGAGAGATGCCTGTTGTGATTGAAACTGTCCTAATTAAGAGAATTCAAAAGTAGATAGGATAGCAGTTCCTCTAACTAATATGATTCCTGCCTCACTGCCCAAACCAAGCTCTTGTCATTTCTCTCCCCTCTCCTCTCAAAGCAGAACTGTATAGTAAAGAGTGGTAACAAGTGGAACTCTTACCTAGTGTTTACTCCAGTGCTCAGTATCCCACCTCAGGTCCTTTCCATTGGTTCTAAGGGAAATTTATGTTTAGAGCTGGCAGTCTTGTCTGTTCATTGGATGTTTCTCTCAAAATAGAATAGATATATGATGTACTAACATGTTCACCATAGGCTACCAACCCTCCTAATGATCAGAATCTATGCTGCTTTCTTTATATTACTAAAATATTTAGCTCAGGGACTTTTCCCTAGTTTTCAGTAGCAGAATTTCTTAACAATTTGCCTTAACCCGTTAATATCCACTTAGAAGACTACTGAAAAAATTTATCCAGTCCTCATCTCTTCAAGGAAGTCTTCAGAAAGCTCATGGAAAATGTGTTATGAAAAAACTATGCATGGATTTCAAAATAAATTTTGTACCAAAATAAACTTGTGCTTTAATTCCAATTTCCAAAAATTCTTGAACTCCCCTTATACTTTACATCTAGAATATAGAGCTCTAGTGTCAGTTGTCATTCTGTTTCTTTAAGAAATCCTACCTGTGACATCTAGTATCTCCATTCGTCTAGTAACACTTATGTAGTAAATTATTAGTTAAGAATCTCTCCCCTTTCCTCTATAGTAATGACTACTGCTGCTTCCAGAAATTATTATTTTGTTTTAAAAAAAGTAACATAATCATGGTATAAGGAAAAAGAAAAATAGTGTCTGTCTAAGGTTAGGGTCAGCTCTGCTGCCAAAACAGGAAAAGAAGTAAGAAATTCTGGGAGCAGCCACATAGCCTAGTGGTTAAAGGAGCCGGATCCCACGTGGCCAACCATGGGTTGAGTCTTGGCCCCAGTGGCTTGAAAAACCAGGATAGTTAAAAAAAGAGGATAGTTACTTGGATTTACAAATAGCCCTTCCATTTTACAGACCCATACCAGGCACGTATGGGTGTGTACCCCAAATTCCAACATGATGAATAAATGGAGGAGAAGGGATTGTGGCATGAGCATGCCCCACAGAGAGGTGCTTTTTCTCTCCCTCTGTTTCTTTGTCATTTTCTGGCAAGCACACATGTCTTCTGTCAATTAAAAAGAAAAAAAAAAGAAGAAATCATGGGAGAGTCTCCCCAGGGAGCTGCACCTGCTTGGATGCTACCATGAAATAGTGACACAAAAGTAAAGGTGACAAAGAGAACACAGGAGGGTAAAAACAACTGACATACTATTGATACTTTAAGAACCATGTTCACTAGATAGCAGAATATTCATTACAAAACATAGCCTTGCTCAAAAACATTCAGAGGCTCTTTATTGCCTTTAACAATGGGCAACATTAGACTCTTGGCTTATTTTTGTATGACCAGTGAGCTAAGAATGATTCTTCCGTTTTTTAATTTATTTTTATTATTTTTTATTTTTTGAGAGGTTTTCGCTATAGGGCACGTGCACTCACCCGACCGACAGAGAGAC